GCCATTGCACTCCAGCCTGGGTAACAAGAGTGAGACTCTGTCTCAAAAAAAGAACTGAGTTTCTCTTTTTGAGACAGGGTCTGGCTCTGTCACCCAGACTGGACTACAGTGGCACGATTGTGGCTCACTGCAGTCTCTTTTTTTTTTTTTTTTTTAAGACAGAGTCTGGAGATGGTGCCATCTCAGCTCACCACAACCTCCACCGGCCGGGTTCAAGCGATTCTTCTGCCTCAGCCTCCTGAGTAGCTGGGATTACAGGCACACGCCACCACACCCAGCTAATTTTTTGTATTTTTAGTAGAGATGGGGTTTCACCAAAGTGGCCAGGATGGTCTTGAACTCCTGACCTCATGATCCACCCACCTTGGCCTCCCAAAGTGCTGGGATTACAGGCATGAGCCACTGCGCCCGGCCAAGAAAAGATCCTGACTGAAGGGGGCAGCCCCGGGCTTGTTAAAGTGCTTGGATTTTTACTTTTTTGGGGTCTTACTCTTGTCTCCACTCCATTCCATGAAAGGTGAGGCAAAACATTTTCTTTGTTTTGCTGCTGGAGAAACTCCGACCCTGGAGAAGTAAAGGTCAAGCCTGGCCTGGAACCCAGGACTTGGTTCCCTGTCCTGTCTCCGTGCTGCCTGCCAAGGAGGGGCCAGGAATGCTGAGCACGCCCTTCCCACCCGCCTACTGACCTCCTCCGGGCGGCCCGAGGGGTTCTGGCAGCTGCTGTGCCCGAGGAGGGCTCCAATCCAGAGAAGCACCAGGGCCTGCATCCTGGGGCCTGCAGGAAAAGCTCAAGGCAGCAGCCTGGCCCTCACCCCTGCGCTGGCCCTTCCTGGCCACTCCAGGCAGGGCACAGACAATGGGCAGGGGGAGGCATTTTCCCCTGCCACGCCCCCCACCTGGAAGTGGACCCTCAGCTTGAGGGCGAATCCCTCCCAGCAAGGCTCTCCCGCCCCCTGCTGCCCCAGCCCCTCTGCCCCTGCCCTCCCACTCCTTCCCCCCCACCCCCACCCCCACCCCAGGGCCCACAGTCACACCACAAGCTTGAGCTTTCGGGGCACTATCTGCATCAGGGGATGCTCCTTTGAACCTAAAGCTTTTATTTATTTATTTTTGAGATGGAGTGTTGCTCCATTACCCAGGCTGGAGTGCAGTGGAGCGATCTCAGCTCACTGCAACCTCCGCCTCCTGGGGTCAAGCAATTCTCCCGCTTCAGCCTCTTGAGTAGCTGGGACTATGGGCATGTGCCACCATGCCTGGCTAATTTTTCATATTTTAGTAGCAATAGGGTTTCACCGTGTTGCCCAGTCTGGTCTCAAACTCCTGATCGCAGGCAATCTGCCCACCTCAGCCTCCCAAAGTGCTGGGATTACAGGTGTGAGCCACCGCACCCAGCCCCTGAACTGAAAGCTTTTAAAGACCCAGAGCAGGCCAGGTGCAGTGGCTCACGCCTGAAATCCCAACACTTCGGGAGGCCAAGGCCGGTGGATCACAAAAGTCAGGAGTTCCAGACCAGCCTGACCAACATGGTGAAACCCCATCTCTATTAAAAATACAAAAATTAGCCAAGCGTGGTGGCACACACCTGTAATCCCAGCTACTTGGGAGGCTGAGGCAGGAGAATCAAGTGAACCCATGAGGCAGAGATTGCAGTGAGCCAAGATGGTACCACTGCACACCAGCCTGGGCAACAGAGTGAGACTCTGTCTAAAAAAAAAAAAAAAAAAAAAAAGTGATCCAGAGCAGTGGGGCCCCACCCCAGCAGGGCTACTCTGCGTGGAGCGTGGCGGAGCACAAATGTGTACCAAGGCTTGGCCCTGGAAGCAGCCAACCCCCTCCAGTGATCAGACTTGGGGCAGCCGCTCCCAGGAGAAAGGGGCAGAACCCAGGTCTCCTCCATGGAATCACAGGACACCAAGAATGGAGGCATCCAGTCTGGCACCTGCTAGCCCTCCACACTCTCAGACTGCCTTTGGAATTCTCTGGCCTGGAACCCGTGGCCTCACAGGAAGCTCATTCCGTTCTCTGACAGTTCCCTTTCAAAAGCTCTTCCTCCCTTGGCCGGGCGCGGTGGCTCACGTCTGTCATCCCAGCACTTTGGGAGGCTGAGGCGGGCAGATCACCTGAGGTCAGGAGTTCAAGACCAGCCTGGCCAACATGGTGAAAGAAAGCCCATCTCTACAAAAAATAAAAAAATTAGCTGGGCGTGGTGGTGTACGCCTGTAATCCCAGCTCTTCAGGAGGCTGGGGCAGGAGAATCACTTGAACCTAGAAGGCAGAGGTTGCAGTGAGCTGAGATCATGTCACTGCACTCCAGCCTCGTGACAGAATGAGACTCCATCTCAAAAAGAAAAAAAATGTACAATCTGAATGGCCTTGTGTCCCCTGCCCTACCTCCCACGCAGCACACATGATCATCCGTTTATACACACATCCACCCACACGGCACACAGACTTTTTGACTTCCCAGAACAAATTGAATCAGAAAGTTGGGGAGGACATTGTGTGACTCTTGGCTCTAGTCCTTAAAATTAAATCTGATAATCCACTGGACAATATCGCAGGGCACGAAGAAGACTGCCTTTGAGTTTGCTGAGCTTCAGCCTGGCTTGCTTTCTAAACCCGACCTCGAGCCGCGTCTCCGGCCAGAGTTCCAAGACCCCGTGTTCCCGGCCAGCTGCTCTTGCACGAGCTGCGCTGACATGCAGGGAGAAAGCTTTCTGCCGCGCAAGACAGAGGCCCTGCCACCACCCAGGCCTACAGCCGGCCCCACCCAGCTGGCAGGAGCCTCCCCCGAGCCTCTGCAGACTGCTTTATTGGAGACCAAAAATGCAGTGAGGCACACAGGAGGCAAGACAAGAGGAAACCGTGTTCGCTCTCGTTCCTCTGGCCGAACTAAGGAATTGAGGGAGGAGACAGGCTCGTCGGCAGTTGTTTTGTTTTGTTTTTGAGACGAAATCTCGCTCTTGTCCCTCAGGCTGGAGTGCAGTGGCGCGATCTCAGCTCACTGCAACCTTCGCCTCCTGGGTTCAAGCGATTCTCCCGCCTCAGCCTCCTGAGTAGCTGGGATTACAGGTGCAAGCCACCACACCTGGCTAATTTTTGTGTTTTAGTAGAGACGGGGTTTCACCATGTCGGCCAGGCTGGTCTCAAACTCCTGACCTCAGGTGATCTGCCCGCTTTAGCCTCCCAAAGTGCTGGGATGACAGGCGTGAGCCACCGCGCCCGTCCATTATCCTGGCACAGTATTTAAGGATACTAAAGTGACAAATGGACCTGAAGGTGGGACTTCAGTCTTAGTCCCTACAGCCTAAGCCCAAACCCCAGATCAGGGGACAGATCATTGTCACAATGTGGGTAGGCTGAGGTGAAATGAGGGAACCTGGCAGGGAAGGAACATGGGGGCCCAGAGTGTGAACGGCAGGCCGTATCCTCCACCTGAAGCTGTCTGGATAAGGGACGAGGAGAGATGACTGAAAACCCTACTAGGCGGTGAGAGGCAGAGGGTCGGGTCTGCGTGGGGGGCTCGGCACACTCACAATACCCTGTCCACTGTGGCCATTCACGGCTGAGCAGGCGACTTGGCTGGCTGCGGCCACAGGCAATGATGCCACCCTGTCCAAAGGGCACTATCCAAGCCCAACTCCTGTCCTCACCAGGGGGGGAGGGCTCAGGGAGAGGCAGGTCCCCCGCTGCTGCGCCAAGGTCAGGCCTTATTTTCTGACAATTGCCCAGATCAAGAAACACAGAAACTGGGATTTTTGTGACCTTGCCTCCAAGTTAGGTGGATAACAGGCAGACAAACTCAAGCCAAGACATGTGTTTCAGATTAAACCCAGTTCCCAGACAAACCCCTCCACCACCACCTCCTCCTTCCCAGAACCACACAGCCCTCACGCCACATGGCAGCAGGCCTGGCAGACAGTGCAGGGAGGGCACCTCCCCCTTTCCCTGGCTCTCTGGGGGGATTTTGAGGGGTCCCCTCTGGCCTACCACCTGGTGACCGGCTGCAAACAATGTTTCCTGCAGTCTCGGAACCTGAACGCGTCCGCCCAGGGCCCCGTGGAGTTGCACCTCCCACACCCCAGAAGAACCAGCCCCAGAACAGGACTCCCCACCCCCAACCCCACTGAACCTGGGGGCTCACGCTGGGTAGGGCTTCGGCCGGGCAGTGGTGGTGTTTCCGGGAAACCCGCAGCTTTTCTTTTTGGCTTAGACCACCCCTCCCGGGGGCTCACCGCAGAGGAAGCAGGAAGGGTGCCCCCAGCACTGCCCTTCCCTCCAGTCCCCGAGGCCGGGTCCCCCACCCTCCACACCTACATAGTGGGCACTGTTTACCAGAGACCACAACCTCGTCTCCCAGTCTTTACTCACAGCTCATTTAGCCAAGGAGGGTGGTGGGGGCCGGCCAGGACCCAGCTGTCCTGCATCCCAGCCCTCAGGCAGGGCGCCGAGGCCAGCTGCTGGGTGGTGCTGGGAAGTTGCCTTCGCCGTCAGCACCCGCTGATTTTGAGAAGGCAGCAGGGAGCCCAGGGAGCAGAGGCCAGGGCTGGGCGGCAGGGGGGCACCTTCCTGACTGCCTTTGCTGCAAGCAGCTGCCCAAGAGCCCCCTTCCCTCGCGGCTCCAGCCCCTCTGGGTACAGCTCAGACCTGACCCCGCAGCTTAGCTCCCCTTTCTCCCCACAACCACCCCCTCCCCTGTTTCCCCCTCACTTAACTCAAAAGTCCTTCCAGCCTCTTCCGTAGGTGCAGTGGGATTTGGGGATCACTGGGTCCCGGCCTTCTGCCTTGCCCCCCACTCCCTCTGCCCTCGCCCATCCACTCACCCCCGTGCCCAGAAGCAGGGGCTGCCGTCTCCCCACTTCCTGTCCCTTGCACCCCTCTTTTCTTCCTGGGGTGCCCCTGCCTCTCCCGTGTCCCCGCAGCCCAGGGGAGGCTCTCCGGTCTTCCCCAACATCGGAGCAGCCAGGGAGCGACTTTACCTGCGTGCTGCAACTCCGCTCCCAGCCCCGTCCCTCTGAGCCCACACGCGGAGGGGCTGCAGCCAGCACAAGCGCTTTTTTGCTGCTTTCTAATCCAGCGTCCAGCAGGCTTCAGATTACAGCTACTCCTTTCTTAAAGCGACCTGCACTCAGCTTGGATTCTGTGATTGCATCACTATCTGGTGCTAACTTTAACCCACTACTGCGCTGCCCTCCCATACCCCAAGGCGAACACATTTCCACACCTTCCTCTTCCATTAGATTTCCTAAAGGAGCCAGGCGCGGTGGTTCACGTCTGTCATCCCAGCACTTTGGGAGGCTGAGGTGGGAAGATCCTGAGGTCAGCAGATCGAGACCGGCCTGGCCAACATGGTGAAACCCGATCTCTACTGAAAATACAAAAACATTAGCCGAGTGTGGTGGTGGGAGCCTGCAATCCCAGCTACTCCAGAGGCTGCGCGATATGGGAAGTGTTCCTTCATGATTCTTCACGGCTGTTGACTCTGTTTCCCACTCCTCATCTGGTCTCCTGTTGATGGATATTCAGGGAGCCTCCATTATTGGACACTACCAGCGATGCCCCTCTGACGTTCTTGTGTCCACTTCCCTGGGCACATATGTGGGAGTCTTTTGAGCTGGCATCATTAGACGTGGAATTGCTGAGTTCCATTTTGGGGTTTGTCCATCTTTATCTTCCAGGGCTGTCATATGCAACTATGCACAACCTTGACACTTACTGCCAGATTGTTCTTCAAAGTGGCTGTATTACAAAACAGCCAGGCATGGTGGCTCTCGCTTGTCAACCCAGCACTTCGGGAGGCTGAGGCGGGTGAACCACCTGAGGTCAGGAGTTCGAGACCAGCCTGACCAACATGGAGAAACCCCGTCTCTACTGCCTGTACTGAAAATATAAAATTAGCTAGGCGTGGTGGCACATGCCTGTAATCCCAGCTACTCCAGAGGCTGAGGCAGGAGAATTGCTTAAAACTGGGAAGTGGAGGTTGCAGTGAGCTGAGATTGCACCATTGCACTCCACCTGACAAGAGTGAAACTCTGTCTCTAAAACTAAATTAATTAAAAAAATAAGTGGCTGGGCCAGGTGGCTCACGCCTGTAATCCCAGCACTTTGGGAGGCCGAGGCGGGAGGATCACCTGAGGTTGGGCATTGGAGAGCAGCCTGACCAACATGGAGAAACTCCATCTCTACTAAAAATACAAAGTCAGTCGGGCGTGGTGGCACATGCCTGTAGTCCCAGCTACTCGGGAGGCTGAGGCAGGAGACTTGCTTGAACCTGGGAGGCGGAGGTTGCAGTGAACCGAGATCACGACACTGCACTCCAGCCTGGGTGACAGGAGCAAAACTCCGTCTCAAAAAAAAGAAGAAATTAAAATCAAAACAAAAAAAATTGGCTGTATTGGTAGATACCTGTAGGGCTGGAGACTTGCTGCTTCTGTCCTCAGCTGTGCTCGGTTTATTGTCAGACATTTAAATGTTGCCCATTTGATGAGCATGAAATAGATGTCCTGTCCTTATGGTTTTAATTTGCATTTCCTTGATTACTAGTAGGGGGTGACACATATTTTCATAGTTTATTGGCCACTTAGGGTTCTCCTTCCGTGAATTACCTGGGCCTGTTCTTCTGTTGTGCTTCTTTTTCTCACTGACTTCTAGTCCTTTCTGGATTGCAGTTAGTGATCTTTGTCAGCTGTCTGCGTTGCAAATATTCTCTTCCAGCGTGAGGCTTGTCTTCATTTTGTTTTATGGTGGGCTGTTCAATGTCTTGGCTTCCCTGAGCCACAGTGGAAGAAGAATTGTCTTGGGCCACACATAAAATACACTAACACGAATGATACCTTATGAGCTAAAAAAAAAAAAAAAAAAAA